TTTCCGTAATTTTGTTTGAGCTAGGAACATCTCTTTTGATCTATGATGTCTCTAGCATACTTCTGGGCATAATTATAATCGTAAAAGTCTTTGAAACCTTTCCACCTGATGTCTTGCTGTCACTAAAGTTGAGATGTTCTATACTGGCACCATAAAAAAAATATTAAAGTCTTTTTTTAGCCTTCAAATACTTAGAAAATAATAAAAACAACTAAACAAGACTGCAGTTTATGTCCTTGTAGCATACAAAAATATCTGTTTCATTGCAATATCTTAAATTCTCCCTTAATCTCTCAAACCCCTATGAATAAAGCGTTGGATTACCAAGTAATACCCTTCATCACAAGGAATTAGGCACTTTAGACTTAGGCTCCCTCTAAACCATTGCATTAGGAGAGATGTTGCTGACGTCATATCTTCCCAGTTGCCATTGACTCACATGGTGCCTTCCCTCACCCTTTTAAGATCTTGCTGAGATCAAATGTGTCCCTCATGATTCTCTTAATTCTCTTTCTGGGTGGCTTTGTGGAACTAGCATGGTTTTGCAGCTAAGAGACAAGGTAGGAAACTTAGTTATTGTTTGTGTGCGTACCACTGAGTCTATAAGGGAGCTTTAGCAAACTCTGTGATCTCCTTCATTGATAACATTAATAAATTAAGAAAATGTTTTACCTGCAGGAGGAATGTTTTTAATTAGGGCCTTGATGTGCTGATGTCTGTCTGCAATAAGCAAGAATTTAAAGGGCATTATCTCATGATTGCCTCCTCCCTTTTCCTCCAGCTATTGTATTTTAATACTTGCTGTGGTACCAGATTTTTGTACTTCTGTATCATCATGAGAATCCTATTAGAATTTGTAGAATAAAACAGATGGAATGCATTTTTTGTACTCAAAGCCCTATTGCCTCCTCACTTCAACTGGCTAGCAATGAGGAATGCAGCTGGCACGTGATTAAAAACCGTCCAGCAAATCCCTGAGTTTCAAAGGTACTATTATTATTTAAGGCAGAGGAAGTGTAGGAGTCACTAGCCTTGAACCATCTGTCAGTCCATAGTCTTTACAAAGAATTACATTCTTGCTAAATAGTTAAAACAGACCTCAGTCTGAACCAATTTGCTTTGTGACACTTGCTGTGCAATCTTACCCCATGAAAGGATTTGTGATTGCATTCACTTTTCCTCCTTTTTTTACTAATACACTTGATACTAGGTTGGCTCTACAGTAAACATGGATTCCTTTGATTTCATATGTCCCTATAATCTGGGTAATTGTTTTTGTCAAGCCATTTTAGCTGTGCATTTTATAGTTTCCTGGACAGATGTTTATCATGTAGATTCTTGATGCTGCTGTCCATAACAGAGCTGGCATGAATTGTGTCAGATTGAATTTTTTTTTTTACTTCATCACATCATGTAGCATGCGTTGACTACTCTATTTACAAAATTGTCACTCGATGTCGTGTTTCTCTTGTAGTTGTAACACCCTGTCATCATATACTTAAGAAAATACTTATCTGTGGAAGCCCTAATTAGACAAATTGTTATGGATCTGTGGTTCTGCATTTTCCTCTGGTGTGTTATTTTAAAATAGTAAAAGTCAAATTGACCTTATTGTCTCAACACAACTTCAGCTTTCACCAGAAAGCCTGCAAGTTGGAATATAAGGTTTGCAGTTTGTCCTCACTGCACATACTCCAAACAACAGTGTTTTCTTTACCCTTGGCACTGTTGTAAACAAGAACCTTTCTGGTGTGCTGAGTGATTACGTAAATAGACAGGGCTTTTATAAAGTGTTTTAAGCATGCAATAGAACAGAATAACTTCATTACAGGTTTTTTTTTCAGTAATTACGTAAATTGACAAGTTTAAAGTTTGGGGGTTTTTTTGTTTGTTTTTTTTTTTTTTTCCTAGCGGATAGGTAGATGCCAGAGTCTCTTGAATATTCTTACTAAAGAGTCCTAAAAATTATTCAGGAACACAAATTTGCTAGGCTTTCCCTTATTACCAACATCCCAATATGCCATTTTCAATGAGGAAATGCCAAGCATTTTGTTATTTGGCACTTGACTAGTCACTCATTTATTTAAACTCAAGCATGTTGCATAAGATTGTGAAGGTTATACTAAGACAATAATGGAAAACAAGAAAATAACCTCCCTTGATCCAGCCTTCCCACCTTCCCAATTTTCATCTAAATAGTACCATCAGGGCAAAAATACACAGGACTCTATATGCTGTTAAACATAATTGACTGCCCGGGCTTGGCAAAACATGCAGCTGGCTGTGAGCAGTTGCAGGGCTGTTATTCTTGCACTCAGCAGGCTAGGTGTGTGTTGCTGCAGTAAAACAGCTCACTTTTCTTCTATCTCCCGCCCCCTTTATTTTCAGTCAGGTTTTGGCAATCTTTTCCTGATATCAGTACATGCATATTTATTAGGCATCATTTTCTGTTTTAAAGATTCTATGTCAGATCTCTAAAATACAGCTTTTCCTGTGTGCTCAGAATACAGTAGTTAAAAGCCATTTTCCATTGTGGTACTGCCATCCTTCTTAATGCATGCACTTAATGACTTCCTTCTCTGTAGTATTTGGGTACCAACTATTTGGTTTCACTTCTGAAAGTCTTTTTTTCTCAATTTGAGGATTTGATTCCTATCTCCAGTTTTTGTTACCAGCCTCTGTCACCTACTTACTGGATTTTTCAGACTAATGCTTGCTTGCTTGCCCCAGGGTTGCCTTTTGCTTCTGGGAAGAAATATCTGCAAACCTATCTCATCTTCGTCTGTTCCTTTATTAAAATTCTTCTTTGCCATGGTGCCTAACAAAAATGTATGGCTGCAAATCTGACGTGCTGTGACTACTCTTAGTCCTGCTGATAAGGAAGTCTAGACTGAAGGAAAAAGTTTCTTGCAGTTAATAAACAAAAAATGTGTGGTAAAAAGGAAGCTAGTTAAGCCAGGTACTTTAATGCCTTACTTAGTGCTTCTGATCTGTACAGGGTGTGTCAGCAGTCTGGCATTGCACACGTACCACAACTGAAAATATGAGGCAGTAGGAACATAGATCAGTTGCAAGGGCTTGAAGAAGCAGAAATGTAAAAAGTGAGAGAAAATGAATTGCATTTTTATTCTGATTCTAAGGCGGCATTGCTTTGTAAAACTGTTATTTCTCTTTTTTGTGTCCCATATCATGGTTTTATTTGACAGAAATACAAATGCCCTCTGTCTCTGGGAACCCTGCAGAACATTTAAAATACACATCAAACTACTATTTCCTTAATATTGGCTCCCTGAGAACCCTAAATTTTAATTGAACTTATGCCAATAAGTATTCTTATGTAATTTTCATCTCCCCAAGATGTCAAAAATAAAGAGGGGTTTTGAAGCATGGTCCAGTGTATATCCTCTCATTTGCTTACTTGGTGAATAGCTTTTATATAGTGCTGCCTAATATTACTTACATTCTAGGTTTGAAACATACATTCTGCCTTTATCAGTCACCCAGCTTTGCTCCTCTTACTGGGTAATGTCACAGTTCCAGTTTATGGAGTGTGATATTAATTGGTGATGCTGTTTGCAAGGTTGACAAAGTTTGATTAATATCAGTACTTCATAAAAACCCCATGACATTTCATATTATCAAAACCCATGTTAAAACCTCAACTTACTGGAAGTTGTTAAGATTACTTAAATTACTTTTAAAAAGCTGTAGGTATACTGCACCAAGCTTTTTAAATAAAATCAGCCCCCTCACATTTGATGTCTTTGTTTAATCATAACATCTGCTACATACCTATGGTCAGAATTTTCCAACTAGTAAGACAACTTTTAAAAGATGATGTCTGTGTTCAGAGGAAGGACGTGAAACTGTTTTTCTTGTTATATTAGTATTGTTTCCTTCAAAGCTGAAAATTTGAATTTAAAAACAATGTTAATTATGATTAAATTATATTTTGCTGAAGTATTCACTAGATGTAAGAAGCCTTTACTAGAAAATCATATCAGGAGTTTTTGTGGGCTGTAGCTGAATGATATTGAACTGCAGCTTGAAATAAATAATTAATATTAAATACCTAAATTTTAAGGCCAAGTAGTTTGCCTTACAAAAATTTGAAACCGTATTCAACCATATAAAGAGTACTTTTAAGTAAACTCATTTTGTTTTGCAGTGCAGCAAAGCAAACAATATAGCAAGGAAATGTTTTTTGCTCTTAAATACAAGGTGTGTTTGCTACTGTAGCTCCATCACATTGTATCACTGTGGGTTTTCTGATTTTCAAGGACTTCAGCAATTCAGGCAAATTTAACTTCAGTGGTAAAATACTAGACATAATAGTCTTCTAGAGCAGCCTAGAGATAACTGCTAAACATGTATTTGCAAGGTTCTGAAAACAGCTAATATAAATAAATATAAATATTAGTGTGAATGGATTATAAAATAAAAGAATCTCCAAACCATATTTCTCAATGTAAGGCCTAAAATTCGTAATAGAAATGTGTTTCATGACAACCTTAGTCATGGGCATTAAATGTTCAATGCCCTGATTTTATTTGCCCAAATACCAGTCCCTTGTTAGAGTTGCCCTAGATCCATAGTCTTTAACAGGCTATCAAAATTGCTAAATTCAACAAAAAAGGGAAATCATTTAGACAGTGAGGCAAAATAAATCCACTTTAAATTTTTAATAACAGTTACATATGTTTTGTGTCTTGTTTTTACAGATTTCCTTTTTGCCTCCAGTGTGTTCCATTATGGCAGCCTCCAGTGAACAATGACATACTTTGACAGATACAGATGCCAAACAAAAACAGTGGCCTTGTTTCATTTTTACTCCAAGACAGTGAAATGGTGCTCTTCAAGTTTTGTTATTGACTCTCACTGGAAAACACCAAACTCCTGACTGGACCTTTTTTCCCCAGCACTCTCCCGGTGTTCTTATGGATGCTTGACACAGTGACATCATGTAGTAGGCCCTGAAGTGTTGTCATAATTAAGTTGCAATGGTTTTGTACACTTCCCCATTTCCCAACAGCTTTCTGTCAGTTCTGCATTCTTTTTCCTGGGGCCTGATTTTCCCATGCTACTGGTTAGCAGATAGGCTTGTGGCCTCTTTTGTTCCTACCACCTATGAAAAACGTCAGAGAGCAGATGACCCATGCTATTTCCATGCACTCTGCATCATTATTACCACTCCCATCTACTTGGCACTGTTGGTAGCCTCTCTCCCTTTTGCTCTGATTGGCTTCTTGTTATGGTCTCCACTGCAGTCAGCCAGAAGGCCATACATCTACTCCAGGCTAGAAGACAAGAACCATGCCAACGGAGCCACGCTGCTCACCGAATGGAAGGCTGCAGGGAACGGGAAAAGCTTCTGCTTTGGCAGCGCCAACGTTTGCCTGCTGCCAGATTCGCTGGCAAGATTTAATAATGTTTTCAATACACAGGCTAGGGCTAAAGAGATTGGCCGGAGGATCCGAAATGGGGCAAGCAGACCACAAATCAAAATATATATAGATTCTCCTACCAACACATCTATCAGTGCAGCCAGTTTTAGCAGCTTGGTCTCCCCCCAGGGTGGCGACAGCACTAATCGTGCTGTTAATGCTGGCATCAAAAGGACAACATCAATGGAGTATAAAGGAGACAATTCTGGCTCAAACAACAGTGAGGATAGTAGAGAAGATAAAGGTGGAGCTGGAGAGCCAAATGAGGGAGAAGAAAACAGTTGCATTGTCCGCATTAACGGAGAGGATAATGGCCACATGTCAGACACAGAAACAGATACCATCAATTGCCAGGCTCATTCGGGTGGCCCAGCAGAGCCGTCCCTGGAAGGTGACGCAGAGATCTCAAAAACACCTAACCACAAACAAAAAGAAGGAGATTCTGGGAGTTTAGACAGCTACTCTGCCTCACGAGAGTCCTTAGTTAAAGTTCGCGTTGGAGATGGCATGGTGGACCAAAGCACTGTCAACAACAAGCTCCTCTACAAAGCTTCAATCATGAAGAAGACTTCAGTGCGGAAAAAGAAACATACAGATGAGACCTTTGATCATGAGATCTCTGCTTTCTTCCCTGCCAACTTGGACTTTCTGTGTTTGCAGGAAGTGTTTGACAAAAGAGCTGCGGAGAAATTGAAAGAGCAGCTTCATCACTATTTTGAATACATTCTCTATGATGTTGGGGTTTACAGTTGCCACGGCTGCTGTAGCTTTAAGTTTGTGAACAGTGGTCTACTTTTTGCCAGCCGCTATCCTGTTATGGATGCTGCCTATCACTGTTACCCCAACGGAAGAGGAACGGACTCCTTGGCTTCCAAGGGAGCCTTGTTTCTCAAGGTAAGAGCCTTTTTTAAGACATAAATATTGATTCCATTTATGTGACAAATTATAACGTGGCACTATTTCTCTTAGTCATTTCTGTTAGAGTTCAAACAGGCAATACTGAGATCTAGATTCCCTGATACAACCTATATATAGGTTCTGTGGCCTAGATACTGTGTTGAAGTGATGGATGTGCAAGAAGTAATGAGAGATTTTTGGAGGTAGAACTTAAGCAGAATTTCAAGTGTCAAAATTTGAAGTAGTTTTCATGTAACTTTAGTTTCTTGTTCACAGAAATCTCTGTAATATAATGCACAAATTCTAAGCTTTGCAACATGAGTGTATTACAATGGGCATTAGTGGTGGAAACCAGCTTATTCGTGTATTGTGCTTTTGTAGGAATCAAAAGACAAAAGTCTAACTAAAACTCTAGTACAGTAAAACTCAAAAGAAATGCAATTAAATGTATGACTGTCCCTTGCTCTTGGTTGCAAAAGAATTAAGGAGAGATACGAAGAAGAGTAAATAAACAAACAAAAAAAAATAAACACAAAAAAACCCAAGCCTGGGCCACTGGAGAGCACAGAGCTTTTGTGCCTTATTAACACAGTTTACAAATTAACTGAGGTAGTGAGAACAGGAATCCTGGGGTTGTATGTCTGTAAATCATGGAAAGCAGAAATAAGTCTCCATGCAATGATTTGCTTTTCCAAGGCTAATGGCTGTTCATGCTTAACTCTTGGGAGAATCTGTCTTCTTCATAAACTGGAAACAGGCTTTTCTGATTCATGATTAATCAAGAGCCAAAACTTTGTGCAGAGATTCAAATCTGTAGACACAAACCTAGACAGATCTGAAAATTGCCTAGAACAGTGGATTTCAGATTTTGCAATTTTTGTCACAGTTTGGAATGGGTTTCACTAATTAAACCCTAAACTTTTTCGCATGCTAGCAAAATACATCAATCAGGTGCTCAAATTATAGGTACCTGCTAGTTTACCCATATCTGAATACAGGTTTCCAAAAACAGGACCTAAGCTTTCTATACAGTGCTCCTACATCTTTATAAACAGCTGAAGTTTATTTTTTTCAGCATGCAAAAAATGAAAATACAAATTGTGCAGTATAACTATTACCAGGGTCACAAAGACTACCCTTCAACGTAGGCATATATTAGGAATTAAGAGATTAAAACCAATCTGCTTTCAGCTGCCCAGTGCTGAGTCATTGGTTTGCTACCTGCTAGGCAGGCCACAGTGTCTCCGTTTCCCTTGCAGAAAATTAAGCCTCTTTACAAAATTCCACTGGGATGATGAACTTAATTATGGATTCAAGTTGTTAAATAATGTTACAGTTGAGCAGGGAATAGGGACCAATTATTATAAAGACTCGAAGACGACTACATTCTTTTAAATATGACAGAGTTGTGGCCCAGCTACAAGACCATTTTTCCTCATGTCTGTATCATTCTGACCTACAGTTCTTTATACCAAAAATCTTTTTCATTCAGAGTTAAGTCTACAATGACACGAAATTACTTTCTTAGTTGTACATTAAATGATCACTGATCATTTCTTTCTTTGACAAAAAAATTAAAAAATGTAGGACTGATCTGTTTAATTGTTACTTTGAAACAAAGTATGTTTGAAGGTTGATTTTCCTGATGGTTGCTCAATCAGCAATTGAGTTTGTGTGGACTCCAGAGATAAAAGCTACATACAGCAAGTAAAAGTCCAGTTTGTTTCTGAAGTCAGTGAAAATCAATCCATTAACTTCAGAAGTCCTGAGGTCTTACACTGGCATAGCAGCAGGCTAGCAAAGCATATTGTCACCATGCTTGGAAAGTGTTGCTCTAGCCAGTACTCTGCCATTCAAGTAGACCGGTCATATTGCTGCTTCTAGATAATTATTTTACTGGCTCTTACAATATTTTGTATGTATGTAATGCAACCCAGTCCTACATTAGAGTTTATCTTAGTATGGTTTCAGATATAGTTAAGAGAGACTTGCAGAACAAGAGTCTCCTAGTTGCTTTCCATTCAGTACTGGCATGGAGTTAAGTGTCTCTGTCATGTGCAGACTCTGTGGTTTTAGTTCCTGACTCCCATTGAAAGCAGGGTGTTGCCATTTCTGAAGTAGAAAAGACATCAACTGAGTTTTCTTTTGGAAGTACACTTGGAAAGACTGTTCCACTTGCATAGCTTCCACCTCCAAATAAAGGAGGAATTGCTCTCTAAGTTGCTTAAAAAAAAAAAAAAAAATCAAAAAGTTGTGAAAAGGAATTGAGAAGACTGCATATTTTGAAAATATGGATGAAATCACTTAATGTTTCCACTCATTAGGAAGATGAAGCCTTTATTCAAATCTTCCTGAACCTCAGGAAAGACCCAACATCTAAATTCAGAAGAATGTTCAGAGAAAGAAACTGGCTTTCTTTTAATGAGTACCATTTATATCCTTATTACAAATACAACTTTTCAGGAGATAAATTAAAGGTCTTAGAACTAAACATTTTAATGCAAGTTGAATTATTCTGAACAAAAAGGCAAAACTCTTTTGGGGAAACTGTGTTACACAATAGATCCCTACTGTACAAGTGCTTCGCTTGTACATTTTCCATTGCCCTGCTCTTCCCTGCCCTGCCTTCACCATCTAGATTGTAAAGTTCAGGTGGAGATCTGGAAGGATTTGAGAGATTTGCTTTGTCATACAGAGTTATTTTACCTGAGAGACTTACACAGCTCAAGTGTTATTACTAGAGTAGCTATAGTAACAATCAGCTCTACATACTGCTTTTAATTCACATGTATCAGAGTGCATAATAAAGAAAGGTCAGTATCTGCTTAATAGAAGGAAAAAATAAAGCGCAGGAAGGTAAAGTGATTCAATTGTGGCTTGACACCTGGGGTGTCACAACCAAAGAGAGGAGTTGGAAGTAAATTACACAGACTTAATACCGTTTCATGCTACTGATGTCATGCTACCTAACAGCTGTCTGGAGACCTGTGCAAAGGAATTCTGCTAGCCTAAGTCTGTTCTCTTCCTCAAGATGTCTGCCACAAAAGATGCTGCTGCTGGCATTCTCCTGGCAGTGATCAGACTGCTTTTTCCATCTGTATAGGCTGATGTTTTCCAGGTCAGCCTCCATGAAGGCGTGAGGGTGACTTTGTGTGAGTAGCTATTGTGTAAAGCCCATTTTCAGCATAACTGAGAGACTAATAGACATTCAGCACTTTGATCTCTTCAGACTCTAGCAATGTTTCTGTCTCCAGTCTGAGGGTCTCATTGGGATGTAAGAATGACCCAGTCATAGAAAAAATAGCATACAAGAAGGGGGAAAATGTCACTTACATCTAAGTGACAGTTGCATGCCTGAAGTGTTAAACCACTGTTCCTAGTTGCCACTAAAGGCTCGGAGGAGAAGTCAGACAATCTATAAATCAGCCAATCCATTTTCATACTTTGACAGTCTAGGCCCTTGGGACAGTCTGCCGTGACTCTCTGTTCCAGTACTGCATTTTACATTCATTTAAAATGCCAAAGAAATGAGCCCTCGAGTTTGCTTTGCAGGTTTTATAACTGCAGTTGTCTCTTACTGCTGCTCTGCTACAGAGGAGGGAAGTGGGACTCTGCTGGTGATTAGAACTAAAAAGTTGCCCTATATGTATCGATGTACCACATGATGCAGATTGCATCATTCTCAGTTACCCTGCAGCTGTTGGTTTGACACATACATAATTGTACTTCACAGTGGGTTTGATGCACTTCAAGGGAATTTCAAAATACGTGTCCCTTTCAGAAACTGGATGATGATTTTGCAGTCAAATCAAAGCTATCAGTGAGTGCTGAGCAGAAACTGTGTAATGCATTGCTTGTTCATAATTTACCAGGTTTCAAAATGTCACCACTCATCTTTAGAAAGAGGGATTGGTATATAGCCTTAGTAACAGTGTCTTTCAGGGATGCTGTGTAAGTTTTGCACAGTAGTGCAATAAACTGAGAAAACATCCTTAACTTGACTTGATGAGTTACTGAACTGGGGAGCTTGTTCTTATTTTTCCACATGTACCTATCTAATAACAAAATGTCACTCCTGCTGACAAATGTTGCCTCTCTCCTATGCTTAAATTGTAATAGCTATAACTGTAACACAAATCTAAGTCATACAAGACAGGTAAATGCATCCTTGTGCTAGTCAGGTGAATGAAAAAGGTATCATTCTGAAAATGGCTATTAACTGAGGAGAGGTCTTGGAGTGGTTTTCCTCCCACGGAGCTGGGAGATACAGAAGTATGTTGCACAGAAGGCTGTTCTTCCTACTGTTCTTGGTAGGAAATTATTCTGGGTTGTGGCATCTGCCCAGAGAGAGAATTTTAGCAAAAATAAGAATTCTTGCTTAAATCATGGTATGTGAACATAGAGCAAAAATAAAACCACATTCTGATGTGGGCAATTTGGAACAGCTAATAGTACTCTAACAAAATCACAAGGAAAAAATGTCTTGTGGTTTTTGCTAAATTTCCGAAAGGACTTGTGGTTAATTAACATTAATTCCTAAGCTTATTAACAGATTTACTTTTCAAATTCTCTGAAAGTTAATGCTGTTTTCAGGAAGTACAGTAATTGTGCAGAGAACATGTTATTATTCATTCCTTAAAGGAAACCTAGCAACCTTTGCTTCGTGTGCAAAGCCAAACTTGTTTTTGAAAGAGCTGATACAGTGCTAACAGATGGTAGAAGGAGCAGTAGCTCTCATTGTAGAAAGGCTTTGAAGCAGTTTTTAGTATTTGCTACTCTTGAGGTGCCTGCTTTGTATGCTAGAACGAGGGATCCCTGAATTAACCTCTGTGATTCTCCGTTTTGATATCACTGATGCAGATACGTTTGTAATTTAATTTAAGATGTCTTTACTGTTCCATGCCAACTTGCACGTGTGGTGGCTGAGAGCAACGAGGCAGCTTCTGCTACGCAGTCACACAGGAGACTGCAGGAAAGCCTTTTTACCTAAGGAATAC